GAAAGAACAAACCCGATTCCACTGGAGGGAGAACTCAGGAAGAAGCGATGGAAGTGGATAGGACACACATTGAGGAAAGCACCCAACTGCGTCACAAGACAAGACTTCACTAGGAACCCTCAAGGTCAAAGGAGAAGAGGAAGGCCAAAGAACACATTACGCCGAGCAATGGAGACAGATATGAGAGATGGTGGAGAAAACTTGTAGCTCAGGTGGATGATTGTGGTGGTGTTTCGTTCTCTGAGCTGATTGTTGTGGTTGTGGAGCTTTCATTGTTCTTCTGAACAACATCATCAGCACAAACTTTAGATAGAAGTGAATTGAAATTTGAATGCGAAGAATGAGATATGAGAAAGATATGAGAAGAATGAACAAAAATTCGAGGGAAATGAAAAGAGAAGCCCAGGACAGTTTAGGTTAAATAATAAAGAACATCTGGAACTCAAAACAACTGTCAACAAACATCGAAATCAGAATTTTCAATAAAAATGTTCAGACAGTGCTACTGCATGGAGCGGAAACTTGGAGTACCACGAAGGTCATCATCCATAAGATACAAGTATTCATTAACAGTTGTCTACGCTAAATACTGCGAATTCGTTGGTCAGACACTGTCAGTAACAACCTAATGTGGGAGAGAACAAAGCGGATTCCAGTGGAGGAGGAAATCAGGAAGAAGCGATGGAAGTTGATAGAACACACACTGCGGAAAGCACGCAACTGCCTCATAAAACAAGTCCTCTTTTGGAACCCTCAAGGTGAAAGGAAAAGAGGAAGGCCAAGGAACACATTAAACCGAGCAATGCAGACAGATATGAGAAGAATGAACAAAAATTGGAGGGAAATGAAAAGAATATCCCAAGACAGTTTAGGTTAGATAATACTGGTTGGCGGCCTATATTCCATTGGGGGTAAATGGTGTAAGTAAGTAAGAAACCGGAAAACACTGAACAGCCCATACCAGAACAAAATGTTAGCCCAATGCTTCCAGGTTTTTAAAGGTGCTCTAACATTGATCACTTCATGATGTCAAAGTAATTAGATTCTTATAAATAAACGCTGTCTATTTTTTAGATGCAGACCAACCACTTAGTGAACTTCAACGATTTCGGTTTGTATTCTAGTCATACAGATTGCTCCTGGAGTAACCTATTCTAAGGTTACATTTTTATTACGACTTACGTTTTTTAACTGAAGGACATGTGAGTAAAATAAGAACTAATCAATATCTATCAATAATGGTCATCTTACAGTGCCGTTGGAAAATGTCGACTTGAAAATAATCGATTCGATTGTTAAAATGATTTGACTCTCATTGCAAGATATGAACTTTTGTAAGGTTATAAATATGTTACGCTCATCTTTAGGTATGCTTGAACCTATTACGGGTTCACCTTAGTCGAATAACGAGAATAAAACAATGAACCGGCGCTCAGGTAGGCTACTGTTATGCCTTGACCAAATTGTACCAGCAAGAAGTCTTGATATAGCGTTGGAAGTGTATTCTACAAACACCCAGCCAGCACACAATCAAACCAAGCACTCAAATTGCGTTTATTTATACTCTATAGAGACGTCCTTGTGACAGTCACAAAAATATCACACTAAAATGTCACAGTAACCTATCACAGCCAAGGATTTTTCTGGTGAGAAATGTGATCTCAAGGTCAACTGATCGGTCCATGAAATAAATCCAAAATGAAGGTATTTATCAAGTGACTTCTAGGGATCTAACATCTCCAACAAGCTTCACAGATAATTTCAAAACAGAACAAAATCACAGTGTAGTGCAGGAAAGCACAGGTGGGGCTACCGGTTTGTATTTAACGAAAATTACAGAGTTACTCAGTAAAATTGGAAAACCATGTCGTAAATCAATAATTTGCAAAATATCAGCTCATCATATCGAACTGGACTGTTCCTGTTGCAAAACATCAATCTATTGTCACTATTCATCCGTTTCATACACAAATTCCATTGTGTTCTTCTAACTCTTCCTTTCTTGTTCTTCCCCCATCTTCTGCTGCCAGACATTACGTTGACACTCACGTCATATACTACTTATAAGTAGCGCGCACCACAGCACCACAACAGGACAGTTCTTCATGATTTTTAACAAATCTTTTGTTAATTTGATTTTTAAACAAAATATATTTACAAATCCTTTTGATAAACACAAATATCAATGTTCAATAATTCGTTTTTTTATTTATTTACTATTTAACAATATCCAACTTGAAAATAACTGAGTACAATAGATGAGAAATTAACAGTTAAATCCTGTATATCTAATCAAATTTATATATGTTGAGGACGTTAGATCCCCTGAACTCACTTGATCAAGGTCCTAATTTTGGAGTTTATGCTTTCGCATATGAACTGATCAGTTGACCTTGAGATTACATTTCACACTCGGAAAATCCTTGACTGTCATTGGTTGATGTGTTATTTTAGTATGCTATTTTTGTGGCTCTCTTAAGGATGTTTCTATCATGTATAAATAAACTCGATTTGTGTGCTTGTCAAGCTCGATTTTCCGAGTGCATGTAGAATACATTTTTTACGTCTTGTCAAGACTTCTTCCCTTAATTAGTGAGGTATTGGGACGCTCGGATTAGAATAGCTTATCGTGTCACTGGATCATTTGTCTCCGCTAGTTATTTCCATAACTAATTGTAGTTATGTCATAACTAACCAATCAAATTATGGTTTAAGCACCCACCACGTGATCTGATCGGACGTGTCTGTAAACTTTCTTTGTTGTAAATGACCTACTAATTGATTGACATTATTATCTTACTATATTGATGTGACTCATAACTCTATTCATTTCCATATGACACGTCATATTGGTCGGCTTGTTTACTCGTTTCACTTATGATAACTGTAATTTCCTTAATTATTGTACTCATCTAATTGTTTTTATGTTTAGAAATAGATAAAGTTTAAAACCAAGTTGGTCTTGTTTTGAATTATAGCTTACCCATAGACTTTGTGCTCGCCAATATTGCGTTTACCGTTCTAGAATATTACATCTGTAGGACAGATTAAATCCTACAGTCTTCACTCTCGTTTACCGACTAAAGTAAACTCATAATAGCATTCTAGCATATCAATTGACGAGCATAACAATTTAAAAGAAAGGTGTGTGCGTGTTGTTTAACTTCACAATCATAAGATCAATTTACTTGTATGTGTTGTTTTAATCCGTCCGTTGGTTGTCTACTACTAATTGGTCAGTCTCATTTAGTATGTGCTACCAATTTGGATTGCCTTGAAATTATTGTTAAGATATAAACATTATAATGACATCAATGAGAATATCAAGTTACACAATCAAGTGACGATCTGATCTCAACAGCTAATTGGATAGATAACACCATAATGTTTGAAGCGATTGGTATTAGGACCGACTCGTATAGTGAACATGAATTCTGACATTCAGGTACATTCAGTGGACAAGCTCGAAGATGCATAAAACTCACATTCTGAGTTTCACTGCGATAGATATCTTATATGTATTCTAATAGTCTTAGGTTATCTAAAACCTATACACGATAACAACTTACTTACGTACTTACTTACGCCTGTTGCCCCAAAAGGAGCATAGGCCGCCCACCAGTTTCCTCAACCAACTCTGTCCTGGGCTTCCCTCTCCAGTTCTGTCCAATGTTTGTTCATTCCTCTCATATCTTTCTCTATTTCTCGGCGTAATGTGTTCCTTGGCCTTCCTCTTTTCCTTTTTCCTTGAGGGTTCCATGTGAGGGCTTGTCTCGTGATGCAGTTAGGTGCTTCCCGCAATGTGTGTCCTATCCGCTTCCACTGCTTCTTCCTGATTTCCTCCTCCACTGGGATCTGGTTTTTTCTCTCCCACAGTAAGTTGTTGCTGATAGTGTCTGGCCAACGAATGAGAAGTATTTTGCGTAGACAACTGTTAATAAACACTTGTATCTTCTGGATGATGACTTTTGTAGTTCTCCAAGTTTCCGCTCCATACAGTAGAACTGTCTTGACATTTGTATTGAAAATCATGATTTTGGTTTTGGTTGAAAGTTGTTTGGAGTTACAGATATTTTTCAATTGTAGAAATGCAGCCCTTGCTTTGCCAATCCGTGCCCTCACATCTGCATCGGATCCACCTTTCTCGTCAATGATGCTGCCCAGATATGTAAAGGTGTTAACGTCCTACAAGGCATCTCCATCAAGAGTGATTTGGTTGGTGCATGTTGTGTTACATCGGAGAAATACACGATAATAAGTTGGAACTTAATAAGTAGACGACAGCCTGAACGAAATCATATCAAATATTCATAAATCTTTTACCGACTAACCTCAAACTTTGAAACCTAATCGGATATAGTTACATATTATTTCTAACATTATCAAAGAAATGATTGTTCTATACGAACGTTTAAACCAATTCAAACTTCACTCCTGTCACTTTAATCCCTTGACAATCAAGTAAACACCACTAGTATCTTCACAATAAAAAGTATAATTGAAAGCCTGATACAACAAACATAGGTGAGGGCAACGGAATTGTATTTAGCGAAAATTACAGAGTTACTAAGTAAAATAGGAAAACCACATATCGTAAATCGTTAATTTGCCAAACATCAATCCATTGTCTCACATTTCACTATTCGTGCTATTTCATACAAATTCCATTGTGTTCCCACTCTTCTTCCTTTCTCTTGATCTTCCCCCACCTTCTGCTGCCACCAGACATGACGTTTACACTCACGTCATATACTACTTATAAGTAGTGCGCACCACATAACAAGCAACTAGTTGATTATTAATGTGACAATTATTTCATAGGCAGAAAAATTGATGGAAAAACAAATCCAATTCAATGTTTCAACAGATTGTTTGTTCAATGTCCAATAACGAGTATAAATCTCATCTCTCTTACCTTATTGTATAGAGAGATTTTTTTAATTTATGAAACTAAACAAATTCTTAAAAAAAAACATGTTCAACGTGTTTTTTTTTGCTAGAAAAAAAAAAGAATCAAATTTACCACTATTTGATTTAAACACACATGTTTGTTTTAATTTTTCTGATTTATTTATTTATTTATTTAAAATTCAAGAAAAAACGTTTTGGTTTCAATGGATTGGATTTTTTAACATTTTATTTATATAAAAATAATATTTACCGTCAGCAAGATGATGATGATGATCGTAAAACTGTACAAAATTTATCTGATATACCATGGATTCAGGAAGAATGGAAAAAGCATCCACGTAAACCGTTGCCATTGAGTTTACAATGGACAGATGAAGATGCAGCAATTAAGCTGCAATCATATTGGAGAGGTTATCTGGTGAGTGGTTTTTTTTAACATAACTAACTTATTTAGTTACACTTGTTAACCCTAGGGAGTCTCATCAATCAGCGCTGATGGCCTGGGGACTGACGATATCTCAGCGCGGATATAGAAAGCTCGATTGGCTTTTGCCAACCTGCGTCACTTATGGAGTAGGCGTGATATCCGTTCGCTAACCTAAGAATGGGTGTACTGCTGCGCAGCAGTTCGTTCCGTTCTACTATATGGATGTGAAACATGGCCGTTAAGAGTAGAAGATGTTCGTAGGTAACTGGTTTTCGATCATAGATGTCTAAGAAGCATTGTTCGTATATTGTGGGACAACCGAGTAAGCAATGCTGTCGTTAGGAAACGAGTACTAGGTAAGGATGGCGGATCAATTGATGAAGTATTGAAATGTCATCAGTTGAGGTGGTTGGGACATGTGTTACGAATGCCTGACCACCGACTGCCTCGACGAGCTATGTTTTGTGGTGTAGGAGTAGATTGGAAGAAAGCTAGGGGCGGCCAAACCAATACATGGCACAAATCCATGAAGTCACTGACTAGTGGACTGAGTCATGTTGGTAGATGTAGACTACCTGGTTGGGGTCCGCGAGACGATAGTCACCAATGGCTCAAAATCGTTTGCAATGGCGCAAGTGCATCCATTCGTTGTGCTCTGTCAAATCCTAATCTTCTGGATTCGTCAGCACCTCTACTTTTGTCTTTCTAACCTTATCTCACTGAATTATACTTCTTGAATAATATCTTCGAACCCTAGTCTTCTTCATTACCATTAATACCTCCACTACCTTTATCACTATTGGATTTGATTTGACATTTGCGTCTCTGTGTGCTAATGTGGTATGGCAACCTGAACTTATGTACATACGTACGAAGTCCTACGTTGCAACTGACTGACCTAACAGAGCATAAGTCACCAACTAACATTCGCTAACTTACTGTGTCTCTTGTGCCTTCGTTTCAAGTTCTAGCCAATGGTTGTTCATTACTCACATGTCTGTATCTAATTCTCAGGTTAATGTATCCTTTGGTTTTACTGTTCTCCTTTGACGTTGAGGAATCCAAGTGAGGGCTTGTCTTATGAGGCAGTTGGGTGCTTTCCTCAGTATGTGTGTGTGTGTCCTATCCACTTCCAGCGCTTCTTCCGGATTTCCTCCTTCTCTATAATCTGGTTTGTTCTTTCGCAAAATAAAACGTATTGGGCCTTTAATAAATGCCTTCAAACAGAGTTCGCCTAAGTCTGATATATGTTGGGGACGTTAAATCTCCAGAATTCACTTGATCAATGTCCTAATTTTGGTTTTTATGTTTTCACGCATGGGCTGATCAGTCGACATTGAGACTACATTTCCTTCACTGTCATTGGTTGATGGATTATTTTAGTGTGGTATTTTTGCTACTCTCCCAAGGACGTTTCTTTCATGTATAAATAAACTCGATTTGTGTGTTTGTCAACCTCATATTTTCTGAGTGCTTGTAGAATACACTTCCTACGTCTTGTCAAGACTTCTTCCTCTAACTTAGTGAGGCCTTGAGACTCTCAGATTAGAATAGCCTATCGTGTAACTGAATCATTTGTGTTCACTCTCGTTTACCGACTAAACTGAACTCGTAATAGCATTCAAGCATATCAATATTCAGAAATTCAACGGAAGATTTACCTCATAGACTATGTAATTGTTTGTAAAAATAGGAGTTACATTTTGGGTCACAAAAGCATCTTCGATCCAACTTCGTAATTTATTGTCTAGAAGTTGATTCATTAAAGAAAAAGGATCAATCAGTGTATTCTGATTGGATAATATTGACCAATGTAGTCAATAATAGTGTCAGAACTCTTTCTTACTAACAACACAAATAATGGTCAACAAAATATGAATGGTTATGATTTGTGGAATTAATTGATGTTTGCGCAATACAAAGAAAATATTTAAGTTTGAACTGATTATTAATCTTGAGGATAAACTGATTACTGAGTTCGAATTCTACTAGTCGCAAGAGTCGTGGATACGCAATGTTGGTGAGTAGTCAGTCCTATACCAAGATGAAACGGTCGCCTTTCAGTTCATCCAGGTTTCTAATCGTTCGTTTAAAATTGATTGATTCATGATTTCAAATAAAAAGTAACTCAACCATCTCCACAATCCTACATTGTAAAATGACAGTGTTAAACGTATCAGATAACTGATTCCATCTCTATAGATGGTATCTAATAGATAAATCGATACTATTCTTAGATCTCAGTCGTA